TTACTCCACTCTCATATGTTTGCTATGAATTTACTACAATGGCACAAGCTGTTTTGAATCACTTTTTTTCTGAGGTCAAAGGTCTCATGTGGGGGCCCTGGAATATTTCCTTACGGGGGCCTTGGGGACAAAAAAAAATTATATCTTCAAGAAATAGACTGTATTTTAATGTTGTTTTAACCCTTTCCCCAACTAAACTAAGAGAGAGCTAAAGAACCTTTAAAGAGCTATACAGGGGCTTACAGGTTTTACGGTATGGTGCTATATAGCACCTCATCAACTCCAAAGAACCGCTGAAGAACCATACAGGGGCTTAACAGGTTCTTTATATGGTAGTGGTGCTATATAGCACCTTAACCACTCCAAAGAACCGCTGAAGAACCTTTTTTTTTTAGAGTGTAGAACGCTCTTCAGGGGAGGATCTTATGACAGCTTCTAACATGCACTTGTCTGCATCAGTCAGTTTTGCGTGCTTCTGTTTCACCCGCAGACGGTTGAGAAGTTCAGCATATGCAAGATCATCTCTCTGCCCCATTATCTGTGTCAGTGTTATCATTTGAAAATTATCTTTCCAGAAGTCCAGCACATGGTCCTCATACACACAGAGTGGTTTTGCTCTTCTGAGTTGCAGCAACTTGAAGAAATCTCTTTTGGCTAAAACAGATAATCCATCAAAAGGTTTCTGGTTTCCTTTAATCTGCTGCAGTCTCCAGTTCACATAGGCAAACAACTGTTTTGAGACCATTGAGATTTCATCAATAATTAAAATGTGTGCTGTAACAAATTAAACTTATCTTACTTTGTCTTATTGTTACCAGAGTTCTTTTTTGGGTAATCTTGTTTTAAACAGCTTACCTACCATCAATTCAATAAAGCATGTGCAAAACACAAGACTCTCAGTGATAAATGCATGTATTACTAGACATATAAACTTCAAGCAAACATTGTTCAACCCCACAGCACAATGAACAGCATATCGAAAGGTAAATAAGTAAATTGAGTCCAAAAGGCAAGTGCTGATATTAGTCCATGAGTCCTATAAAGGCAACAAACAGTCCAAAAAGAAAACTATAATCCACGCAAAAAAGAAGGTGTAAAAGAGGAGAAAAAAACTCGATCAGTCTCACCCACGTTCTCTTCTCAGGGATTTCTAGATCCCACCTGCAATGCTCCAGGAAAAAGGGAAAAGTAATCCACAAACAATCCCCGAGAGAGAAAACGTGCTTGGTCACTGAAACTTCGGCCTCAACCCCCCAATTCAGGTAATCCTCCAGTCAATGGCCAGATTGATCTTAAATCCATGGCACTGGCCCTAGTATGAGCAAGGCATTTACCAGAACCTTTGTTTGCCAACCTCTCAGAGCATGCCGCCTATCACTCCATGTGCCATCACCTTAAAACAAAATGGCCGCCAGTTCCCACTTCCTTAAATAGGGGCCTTTTACAATAAGAGTTCCTCGTATTCCAAATCAATATATCCCCTCCCCCCACCCACAAAACAGTATACAGATTTAAATAACCATAACAAAAACATAAACAATTATCATCACATTATTAGAAATGTTTGAATATCTGAAATTAACACTATTTCTCTGTTTTGTGGCGGTGTCACAGTGCATTAGAAAGGTCTGCCCTCATTTCATCCATGCTGTTTCCGAGGCCTTGGTATGGAGGCTTCAAGCTTCTTGGGAGCTTCAAAAGGCAGTGCAGTGTTTTACCTGAGATATTAAAGGCTGCAGTGCCTGTTAATGTGGTTAAAAGAACAGTAGGCTGTGAAATGTCAGTATGCTCTCGCATGCATGGAAGCCTGTGCAGGATTTTGGATGCTTCTGCATAAATAGATTTAATAACATGTGATTTACCAACTCTGGCTCCTCCATTCAAAAAATACAGAAACGGTTGTGGGCTTTCACCAGCATAAAATATGGAAGCTTGTGTTTGATTCAAGCTCTGATACATTTTGCGAATCTGTGCATGATTTAGATGGGCAGCTTGCATGAGTGGCATAGCTGTGTTACTGACAGAGGTAGATGCTGTGTTTTCAGGAATGTCTTCTTGCTCGTTCATTTCATTAGGATCAGTGGGTTCACATTCCATAATGCTCTCCAATCTGATCAGTTCATTTGCTGGTGCCAGTGTAGTCCATGCATCTTCAATTGGACCATTCTGATCAAAATCCTCAATTGCCTTTTCTATAGCCTCATTATGTTTTTCATATTTGTCACGGTTTGTATTTACAATGTTGAACACACGCTGCAGTTCATCAGTGCCTGGTAGTTTTACTGAAGTAAATGCATAAAATGATTCATATGTCGGGAATTTCGTGGACTTGAGATGTTTATCTGTGTGATATGGTAGGTAAAGTTTTAGAAGAGTTCCATATAATTTTTCTGGGTTTTTCTGCTGTGCAAAACGAGCAAATCTAATAACAGCAGGCTTTCCTCTTGTTCTTTTCTGTATGTGTCGCATATTTTTTTGAAGTGGCAAACCATTTTTACCTTTTGTCAGTCCTGCATAATCAATGCGGTATTCACTTGCAAATTCAGCCATGCACATGTTCTCAAATTCAGGTCTGTTTGGTCTGGCCTTGTACTTGTCTGGCAAACCTGTCATCCACACATTCTCTACGTCATCATCCATGGTCTGCAAGTGCTTCGTTGGTAAACTCATCTTTACAGCATTGTCATCAGTAGGTATGAAAATGACAGAACATGATGATGATTTCAATTTCAGACTGCATGTGCGGGCGACTACCTCTTGAGTGCTGACCTCTCTGTTCTTTGAATAGGCATTCATGACCTGCTTCATGAACTCACGATCAGACAGGTTATCACGGCTTGAGTCTTTAATCACTCTCTTCAGGTAGTCACTCATCTTATGTTCAGCTTTTGAAATGTACGAGAGCATGTACATGATACAGCTGTAGGGGTGACATGCTAGTAACATGCTAATCATTCTAGAAACATGCTAGTAACATGCAAATCATGCTAGAAACATGCTAACAACATGCTTGTAGGAGCTAAATCTAATACTTAAGCTACTGAGTTGTTTGATCCCGGAGTAATTAGGTTGATGCGCTTTCGTACTTTGATGTGCGTTGTTTACTTCCTCCATTAGAAACGAGAAGACCAGTCTTCTGTTTGCATCACCATACACAGTTTATTGGCTCCACAAACCACCAGCGTGCATAATGTCCAATTTAGTATCCACTACATACACTAAAAGAAAGTCTTACAAACGTCCATCATCTTTCGCGCTGTTGCGGTCAAAAACCTTTTGCCCTTCCGGGTCAAACACCTACCTACAGCAGTAGGAAGGCAACCTATATACACCGAAATCTCTGTAATGTTCACAGCGCCACTCAATGGTCAAAATGAGAATAACCTTTTGATGTGATGACCTTTTTAAACACATTTTGGCTCCAACAATGCTAATGATGCTATAATCATGCTAGTAACATGCTTATAATGCTACCAACATGCTAGTAATATGCTAATCATGCTAGAAACATGCTATAATCATGCTAGTAACTTGCTAATCATGCTAGAATGTAACATGCTAATCATGCTAACAACATGCTAGTAACATGCTAATAATGCTAGCAACTTGCTAATTCAAGCAAAATTCACGCTAAATTATGCTAACAACATGATAAAACATGTTAACAAAAAGCTTTGACCCTGGTTGCATCTCAATCAGCTCCCTAGCTCCCGAGTTTGTGAATCAGTAGATCGTGTACATGAATTCGGTCACTGGTAAGTTCCCTGACTCACTGCACGTTGGGACAGTGATCAGTTGAATTCCAGTGACATGATTACGTACAACGTCAATGGACAACATAGTAGAACGTCACCGCTGGAATTAATAAACAACAGGCAGGGCCATCTAATTTTTATATTATTTTTTATTCTCTTTAAACACATTGTTCTGTTACATGTTCTTACAACATTTCAGCCAAATATTAATTATAAATGTTAATTAGATGTGTTCATTACCTTTCTAGCGATTTGTGTTTATGTTGAAATATACTAAAAAAACGGTCTCTCTTTTCAAATCTTCTATCACGTGTCACTATATTTATCGAGTTGACTCGTGTGATTTATGTTTCAAGCTTCAGAAATGTAAAGTTTTTTTCTGGTAATGGAGCATAGTGAGCGCCGATGCTCCCTAGTTTTTGCAGTGCATTGTGGGATTTTTCAGGGAGCGAACGTTCCAGTGCACTGGAAGGATTTCACGATTGAGACAGCCCTTAAATGGCCGACTTCCTGATCAGTGCCCTTACTACTGAACAAGGGAGCTGATTGAGACGCACCCCCTGTTTGCTTACTCCCTAACAACCACCCCGGGTACCCTAGCAACCACATAGCAACAACCTAGCAACCAACCAAAGTACCCTAGCAACCACATAGTAACACCCTAGCAACCGACCTGGGTACTTTAGCAACCACATAACAACACCTTAGCATCTATCTATCTATCTATCTCTGCTTTTACAATTACTTCAAACTTCAAACTGTTTCAGACTGAAACTTAAAACTTTTTTAAACTTTTTAAACTTTTTAAACTTTTCAAACTTTTTCAAACTTTCTAGTCCGGCTTTCTCAAGCCAACTTAAAGTTTGTCTTGACAAACTTATTTATCTACTTATTTTTGGAACAATTAAATCTATAAAAGGCAACTATTGGTACCTGAGATGTATGTATATGTTCACTTAATTTTCACTGCTCAGTCCTGCTTTGACTTCATTTGGGATAAAAATAAAATATCTGTTCTTAAAGCTTCTGAAATCTTTAAGTTACATTAATCATTGGACTCTTATATGAAAGCAATATGAGAGTGTTAGTGTGTCTGTAGTGCTGGATATCAGTCATGTGATCAGCTGTGGCCCAATCACAGCTGCACTGATATTCAGATCAACAGCACTTTTACTCATGTGATATGAATTAAATTGTGGAAACATGATGAAAGCAGGAAGATCCAGACCTATACGGGTGTAACAATTACTGACTATTGAATGGTAAGATTTTTAGAGAGGAAAATCCATAACACCAGAAGAACGGAAAGACAGTGTCAGTGAAGGTGGTTGTGAATGTGTGTAGATGTGTGCTAGTTACAGGATCAGAGAATGACACTGTTCCTCCGTCATAGTCCAGATACACTTTTACACGCTCAAGATCCTGTTTAACACCAAAGCCAGCCCATTTATTCAATCCATACTGCACAGTCCAAACACCATCGGTAAGGGAAATGAATCCCTTCCTCTGGTTTGATGCTGTAGTTACTCCAAGACTCCAGGAATGACTATTTTTAACCTCCACATCCCAGCAGTGTGTTCCTGAGTTAAAACCCTCTGAACCCAGAACACAGTATGACTTGTCAAATCTCTCTGGATTATTGAGAATCAGTTTGTCCCCACTGTATTTCACACTGGTCAGATCATCAGACAAGAGGAGACGTGGATGAGCCGTGTTTGGATCCAGAATCACAGGAGCTGACGAGACACAATCAACAGGTAAATTCATATAATGCATATAATGATAAAATCTGTCAGTCTTCCCCCATGCATCATTTCCAGTGTATGTTTCAGAGCACAGATCTTCTCCAGACTCACTGTTTTGGACGATGTCCTGCATCTTCTTCCAGACTCTGAAGGGCAGGTTGCCCAAGTAACGTGGCACATGAATCAAAGCTCCAGAAGGCGTCTGTGGATCCGGCTGTGATGAGATCTGGACTCTGGAAGAACATTCAGGAGTCAGAACTGCAGTGGCTTTGACTTCAGAAGCAGAAAGACCAGAGACACCAGCAGATCACTCACCTTTCCATTGAGACTGGAAACTTCTGCAGAACAAACACACAATTTATCATCAACAACTCAATCATCAATCAATGATCTAAAATGAGAAATCAACAAAATTAGGGCTGCAACTAATGATCCTTTTGATAATCGCTTTTGATAATGGTGTCCTCCAAAGAGTGTGCAAATTGACAGCTATGAGACAAAGTGTGCATAGGTTTTTATATATCATGTGCAAGAAGATTTAAAATATGAAGAAAGTTTAAAGAAACGTTACACATTATAATAAGTAAAAAAAAAAAACACACATTAGACTAAATGTTAAC